GTCTTCAGTAAATGGTACTAGAACAACTGGAAAGCCAGGAACATGAAAACAACTGAAGCTAAACATAGAACTTCCATCTTTCACAAAAATTAAGTCAAGATGGATCATAGTCCTGGCTGGGTGGCTGAGTTGGTTGAGTGTGTCCTGTTCACCAAAGGGCTTCAGGTTTGACCCATGGTTGGGATGAATACAGGAGACGACTGATTGAGGTTCTCTCTCACTTGATATTTCTCCCTTTCTCTCTCTTTAAAAATCAATTTTTAAAAATCCTCAGATGGCCGAAACCGGTTTGGCTCAATGGATAGAGCGTCGGCTTGGGGACTGAAGGGACCCGGGTTCGATTCCGGTCAAGGGCACGTACCTTGGTTGCGGGCATATCCCCAGTAGGGGCTGTGCAAGAGGCAGCTGATCGATGACTCTCTCTCATCGATGTTTCTAACTCTCTCCCTTCCTCTCTGTACAAAATCAATAAAATATATATTTAAAAAAATAAATAAATAAAAAATCCTCAGATGAAGATAAATTTTTTAAAATGTATCATAGATCTAAATGTAAAAACAAAACTATAAGGCTCCTAAGAGATAGAAGAAAACCTAGGTGGCCTTGGGTTTGATGATAATTTCTTTTCTTTTCTTTTCTTTTTTTAAATATATTTTATTGATTTTTCACAGAGAGGAAGGGAGAGATAGAAAGAGATAGAAACGTCGATGAGAGAGAAACATCGACCAGCTGCCTCTTGCACACCCCCTACTGGGGATGTGCCCGCAACCAAGGTACATGCCCTTGACCGGAATCGAACCTGGGACCCTTCAGTCCGCAGACCGATGCTCTACCGCTGAGCCAAACCAGTTTCGGCTGATGATAATTTCTTAATTAATTTAAAAAATTGTACTCGATTAAAATTAATCACTTCTGTTCTGTAAAAGATACTTTTAAGAGAATGAAAATACAAGACCTATAATGAAAGCAGATCTTTGTAAAACATATCTGATAAAAGACAGAGAGGGAGAGAGAAAGATAGATCTATTAAAATTCAACAATAACAGAACACCACTAAAAATGGCCAAATAGTTCAGTTAGAACATCCCTCCTGATATGCCAAGGTTGTGGGTTTGATATGCAGTCAGTGCACATACAAGAATCAATCAAAGAATGCGTAAATAAATGGAATGACAAATTGATGGTTTTCTCTCCTGTCCTCTCTCGTTCTCAAGTCAATCAATAAAATTAAAAATGGGCAAAAGACATGAACACTCCACCGAAAGCTACATAGATGGCAAAAAAAGCATATGAAAAGATGTTCAACTTCATACCGCATCAGGAAAATGCAAATAAACACAACAATGAGATCCCACTACACATCCTATATAATAAAAGGGTACTATGCAAATCAACCAAACGGTGGAACCACAGGTCACTATGATGTGCACTGACCACCACAGGGCAGACACTCAATGCAGGAGCTGCCCCTGGTGGTCAATGCACTCCCACAGGGAGAGCACTGCTCAGCCACAAGCCTAGCTGATGGCTGGCAAGCGAAGGAGCCCACCTCCTCAGCAGTGCTAAATATGTCCTCAGAAGGAGCGGGCCTAAGCTGTCAGTTGGACATCCCCCAAGGGCTCCTGGACTTCAAAAGGGCACAGGCTGGGCTGAGGGACCCTCCCCCATGCCCAGTGTATGAATGTTGTGCACTAGTCTATTAGAATGGAAAAAGTGCAAAACACTGATAACACCAAAGTGCAATGATGTGGTGCAATAGGGACTCTCTCTCATTCATTGATGATGGGAATATAAAATGGTACAGCCACTTTGGAAGACAGTTTGAAAGTTTTTTTTGTTGTTGTTGTTGTTGTTTTTTTATAAAACAAGCATCCTCTTACCATTTGATCTATCAAAGTGCTTCTTGGTATTTATCCAAAGGAGTTGAAAACTTAGGTCCACATGAATGTTTATAGCAGCTTTATTCATAAGTGCCAAAAGTTGGTAGCAACCAAGATATCATCCAAATGGTGAATGGATGAATAAACTGAGGTACATCTACACAGTGGAATACCATTCAGTGCTAAAAAGAAATGAGGGAAAATGCCGAGACAAGGATACAGATCACAAATGAAAGAAATCGAGGACAAAAAGCGACTGGATATAGAGTTCAAAACCATGCTTATAAGGTTTTTCAAGAATTTCTTAGAAAAGGCCGATATTATGGGGGGTCCCAGAAGAAGAGAGAGAGCAAGATACCGAAAATATACTGGAAGATGCCGAAGCCGGTTTGGCTCAGTGGTAGAGCGTTGGTCGGCAGACTGAAAGGTCCCAGGTTCGATTCCAGTCGAGGGCATGTACCTTGGTTGCGGGCACATCCCTGGTAGGGGGTGTGCAAGAGGCAACTGGTCGATGTTTATCTCTCATCGACATTTCTAGCTCTCTATCTCTCTCCCTTTCTCTCTGTTAAAAATCAATAAAATATATATATATATATATATATATATATATATATATATATATATATATATATATATATATACTGGAAGAAATAGTGACAGAAAACTTCCCCCACCTGGTGAAAGAATTAGACTACAAGTCCAGGAAGCACAAAGAACCCCCCAAAAAAGGAATCCAAAGATGACCACACCAAGACACATCATAATTAAAATTCCAAGAGCAAAAGACAAAGAGAGAATATTAAAAGCAGCAAGAGAAAAGCAGATAGTTACCTATAAAGGAGCACCCATATGATTGTCAGCTGATTTCTCAACAGGAACCATACAGGCCAGACGGGAATGGCAAGAAATATTCAAGGTGATGAATAGCAAGAACCTACAGCCAAAAATACTCTACCCAGCAAAGCTATCACTCAGAATCGAAGGTCAGATAAAGAGCTAAAGGAGTTCATCACCGCCAAACCAGAATTATATGAATTGCTGAAGGGGGTTCTTTAGGAAGAGAAAGAAAGATAAAAATTATGAACAACAAATACGTAACTATCAACAAGTGAATCTAAAAACCAAGGGAATTAAAAAAATCTGATGAACAATATTAACTGGTGAATATAATAGAATCAGAGGTATGGAAGGGGAGTGAACTGACGATTCTCGGGAAAAGAGGAGAGGAGGGTGTGGGAAGAGACTGAACACAAACTGTGCACCTATGGATGAGGACAATGTGGGGTGGGGAAAGGGCAGAGGGTGGGGTGGGAACCTGGTGGAGGGGAGCAATGGAGGGGGGAAAAAATGAGGACCATTTGTAATAATATGAACAATAAAGATTTATTTAAAAAAAAGAATAGAAAAAACCTACAGCCAAAAATACTCTACCCAGCAAAGCTATCACTCAGAATCCAAGGCCAGATAAAGAGCTTCACAAATAAAAAAAAAGCTAAAGGAGTTCATCACCGCCAAACCAGAATTATATGAATTGCTGAAGGGGGTTCTTTAGGAAGAGAAAGAAAATAAAGATAAAAATTATGAAAAAAAGAAAAGAAAAGAAATGAGCTAGCAAGAAACGAGCCCTGCCCTAGTTGGTTTGGCTCAGTGGATAGAGCATTGGCCTAAGGACTGAAGGGTCCACAGTTTGATTCCAGATGCCGGTCAAGGGCACATGTTGTGGGTTTGATCCCCAGTAGGAGGTAGCCGATCAATGATTCTCATCATTGATGTTTCTCTCTCTCTCTCTTCCTCTCTGAAACCAACACACACACACACACACACACACACACACACACACACACACACACATATATATATACACACACCGTATATAATGAGACCTGCCCTAGCCGGTTTGGCTCAGTTGGTTGAGTGTCCCCCTGTGCACCAAAGGGTCACCAGTTTGATTATGGTTAGGGCACATGCCCAGGTTGCCAGACTGATCCCTGGTTGGGTGAGAGAGGAAGGCAACTGATTGGTTCTCTCTCATTCTAGAAAAATCAATAAAAACATTTTTATTTTTAAAAATATATATTTTACTGATTTTTACAGAGAGGAAGAGAGAGGGATAGAGAGTTAGAAACATTGATGAGAGAGAATCATCTATCAGCTGCCTCTTGCACACTCCCTACTGGGGATGTGCCTGCAACTAAGGTACATTCCCTTGACCGGAATCAAACCTGGGACCTAGCTCAATAATGAGAATCATTGATTGGCTGCCTCCTGCACACCCCACACTGGGAATCGAGCCCGCAAACTGGGCATGAGCCCTTGACTGGAATGGAACCTGGGACCCTTCAGTCTGCAGGCCAATGCTCTATCCCCTGAGCCAAACCAACTAGGGCCAGTTCTAACTTCTTAAAAATATCCAGAATTTGACCACTTTCATCACCTCCACAGATTCAAGTTAGAGTAATTTTGCACCTAGATCATTCCAAATACCTACGCCCTTGGTCTCCCAGATTCCACTCTTGACCTAACAATCTATTTGCTACATGGCAGCCTTTTAATACTTTAGTCCAGGACTGCAAACTTCTATAAAGGTCCAGACAGTACGTCTTTTTAGCTCTGTGCCTTTAGAGCCCACAGACAAGTAAGGCTGTGTTCTGACACAACATTATTAACAATAGTCCCCACACTGTTGTAGTCATTCACCTCCCTCCTCTACCCCAAATCTTCTCATGAGAAATTACACCCAAAACCCCATTACCAGTCTGTCTCAGTCTCCCCCTCACACGGCTCCAGGCAGGTACTGCTTCTCTCCCCACAGCTCACTCGTCACCTCCTCCAGGAAGCCTTCCCTGACCCTCTCCTGATATAAACAATTTTCTCCGTTTTTGTTTTTTCCCCCTCCACTGACGACCATATATTCCTGAGTTTACAATCTGTCTCTCCCTCTAGGGAGTGTCAGGTCACTGCAGGGTCCCAAGCACTTAGCACGCGCCAGGCCCATGAGAGATGCTCAACCAGCCCGCGGAACAAGGCGCCAGGAGCACGCATTGGTAGGGTCTTGGGAAAGAAATGGATGAAGAAGGCCCCAGGGGGCTGTTTGGACCTGTTGGGCCAGGGCGTCCTCACCTAGCTGGCTCCCAACCAGCTTCCTTTTCGCAGCTCTCCTCTCCCCGCTGCTGCTCCCTGCTCGCCCCCAGCGGCCGCGGCTCCTGGTCCTTGCATTGGGCGAGGGGCATGTCCACCTGCGAGCACAGTCCGCGCGTGAGAGGCCGGAGGAGGGAAGGCGACAAGTGGTCACGACGACCCCCTCCTCCCGCCCCTTCGGCCCTGGGCTCCTCCTTGTCACAAAGGGGGGACCCGCAGAAGAGACGGCTGAGCCAGGGCAGGTGGGGGAGTGAGATGGGGGAGTGAGGTGGGGGTGTGAGGTGAGGAAAACTGCGCCTGGAGGACAGAGGCGGGGACACTGAGGGGCCGGGGTGAGGGCAGAGGCTCCGGGGGGCCTGGGCTCCTAACTGGTAGTTTGCGTTGAGTCGAGTCCTTCGAGAAGGGAGAATAGTGGGGAGAAAAGAAGAAAACAACGGGTGCGGCACATGGGCGTCTGAGCCACTCTCTAAGCTGCTTCCGCCACGCGCTGTGCGTGGAAGTCCGCCTTCAGGCCCCGCTGTCAGCGCGTCAGTCACACTCAGGCCCGGTCAGTCAGTCAGTCAGGAAGTCGGGCCGCCCAGGCGAGGGTGACCCCGCACCCCCGCTGCCGGGCGAAGGTCCGCGCGGAAGCCCGAGATCGCCGCCGTCCCTGCCCATCCTCCCGCCGCCCGCGGGAAGAAAACAAGCGTCGCGTACTCCCTGTCGTTCCATCTTGTCTTTTCCCGCCCTCTCGCACGCGCCCTCTGCGCACGCGCCGGCCTCAGTTCTATCTGGGAACGTGCGCGCGCAACGGGGCGGGCCGACCGTTAATGACCGTTGGGCCCTCTTGGGACTGCGCGCGCAGCACGCTCCGCTGAAAGCTTGTGGGGAGGTGGTCTCTGCGCGCGCATGCGCGCTTTAGAGGTTCTGAATCCAATGTGGGTCGAAGGATCTTTTCAATAAAAAAGTTTTTAAATTATATTTTATTGATCTGATATATTTATCCATGGGTTGCCTCTAGAACCTGCAACCTGGGTATGTGCCCTGACCCAGAATGAAACCCTTGGTAAAAAGGAGGTCACGCCCTAACCGGTTTGGCTCAGTGGATAGAGCTGTAGGTCTGCGGACTGAAGGGTCCCAGGTTCCATTCCCGTCAGGTTCCAGTAGGGAGTGTGGAGGAGGCAGCTGGTTGATGTTTCTCTCTATCTCTCTCCCTGTCCTTCTCCCTTCCTCTCTAAAAAAAATCAATTAAAAAGAATTTTTTTTAAAGGAGGACGCTCCAACCAACCCAGTTACAGGGACCAGACCAGGGCTGTTCAATAACAAATCCTGACCTTTGTTATTCCCTGATTTTGACCTGTTGTCTCTAATAAAAAAGTTCATTCAGTTACCACTTTGAACCACTTGCCTGTGTGCTCCAGAACAAGAAGCTCCTTGAAAGCAGGGTGGGCCTGGCCCTTAGAGTTGGAGATTTTATATATATATATATATAGATAGATAGATAGATATAGATATAAATATATAGATATGTGTATGTGTGTGTGTATATATATATATATATATATATATGTATATATAATGCCTAAGCGACCATTCAGACCAGTCAACCAGAAATGATCTGAACAACCAGTCACTATGACGCCCACTGATCACCAGGAGGCAGATGCTCAACGCAGGAGCTGTCCCTGGTGGTTAGTGCGCTACCACAGGGGGGCGCTGCTCAGCCAGAAGCGTGGCTCACAGCTGGTGCAGCAGGCTACCAAAGGCGAAGGCGCAGCTTGCAGGCTCAGTGGGGTCTCGATGAGCAGGATGAGCAGGATGAGCGGGAGCAATGGGGCGCGCGGCTGGGGCACTGCGACATCCCCTGTGGTTTCGGATGGCAAGAGGGCACAGGCAGGGCTGAGGGAACCCATCGGTGCACGAATCCGTCTTTTAATAGTAACAGTAATAACAATAATGCCTTAGAAGTAACAATATTATTGATGGTACTGAGGAGCCACAACCTGGGAGAAAAATATTTGCAATATGTACATCTAAGAACTTGTACTGGAATCTACAAAGAACTCTTTCAATAATAAGACAAACCCAAAGGAAAAGTGGGCAAAAGATCTGGATAGGTGCACGCACAGCTCTGAGAGGGGGTAACCTCAGTGTGAACAGTCCCACGGCCTGCTGGGGAGGAAACAGGGTTGGGGGGCTGTGGATGGGCAGAGGAAGGAGTTGGAGGCAAGGTAAAGGGTTGGTATTTTTGCCAATTGATTGGGAAGGAGGTGTGGCCTCCCTGGGACACCTGTCACTGCGTCCCGGTGGAGGCAGTGGGAATTCCTCCATATTGCTCAGCCCTCCCATGGGAGGCTCTGTCCTGAGCCACACACACTGAGCACACATTTTTTTTTAAAATATATTTTATTGATTTTGTACAGAGAGGAAGGGAGAGAGATAGTTAGAAACATTGATTAGAAAGAGTCATCGATCAGCTGCCCCCCGCACACCCCCCACTGGGGACATGCCCGCAACCAAGGTACATGCCCCCGACCGGAATCGAACCCGGGACCCTTCAGTTCCCAAGACGACGCTCTATCCATTGAGCCAAACCGGTTTCGGCTGAGCACACATTTTTTTAAATGTTTTTTTTAATTGATTTCAGAGAGGAAGGGAGGAGAGAAACATCAATGATGAGAATCACTGATCGTTTGCCTCCTGCATGCCCATACTAGGGATCAAGCCCACAACACACGTGTGCCCTGACCAGGAGTCGAACCGTGACCTCCTGGTTTATAGGTCGAAGCTCAATCACTGAGCCACACTGGCCAGGCAAGGGCACTCATCTTGACACCTACATTCTGGAAAACATTAATTTGAATCTGGGTTCTGTCTCTTACCATGATGATGACATAAAACTGCTACTCACTCTCAAGTCCCATCTTCATCTACTACCAAGGTGATACAATCTAAAATCTCTGGCTATTGTAGAGGTTTCAGGGATAAAACTTCTGGAACATACCAAGAGTTTAATAAACAATAGCTAACAATATTTTGTGGTAAAGCTACAAGTTAAACAAAATAAATCTTTCTATACCACTGGATTTGAAAACTGAAGGACTGTCTACTGAGAAAAGTCTCAAACACTTGCTGTTAAGCACTCACACACAAACACAATCACTCGGAACTCAAAAGCAACTCACAAGATGCAGGAGGATTTTTATGGTGCACCCATCATTTGTATGACTTTCAAAAACATGCAAAAATGCTGAAACCGGTTTGGCTAAGTGGATAGAGTGCCTGTGGACTAGAAGGTCCCAGGTTTCATTCTGGTCAAGGGCATGTACCTTGGTTGCAGGCACATCCCCAGTAGGGGGTGTGCAGGAGGCAGCTGATCAATTCTCTCTCATCGATGTTTCTAACTCTCTATCCCTCTTTTCCTGTCTGTGAAAAATCAATAAAATATGTTAAAAAAGAAAATCACTTTGGAAAAAAAAAAAAAAGCATGCAAAAATAAGCCATGACTTTGAATGTAATATATACATGTAGTAAAAAGTGTTTAACTGCCGAAACCGGTTTGGCTCAGTGGTAGAGCGTCGGTCTGTGGACTGAAAGGTCCCGGGTTCGATTCCGGTCAGGGGCATGTACGTTGGCTGCGGGCACATCCCCAGTAGGGGGTGTGCAAGAGGCAGCTGGTCGATGTTTCTCTCTCATCGACGTTTCTAGCTCTCTATCTCTCTCCCTTCCTCTATGTAAAAAATCAATAAAATATATTTTAAAAAAAGTGTTTAACTATATGAGAAAGACAAACATCGAATTCAGGAGTCGGTAATAACCTCAGCAGGGTGGGGATGGAACTAGGATGAGCCCCTAAGGTCTTCAACCATGGCTCACATAGGTCTAAAACTGAAAGCTCCAAAGCAAACATAGAGTCAATGTTCAGACGTGACCAAAGCAGGGCTGGGTGGGTGACCCCTGGGTGTTATTATGCCTCATTTATCATGTCTCCAGCACACCCTCCCTCCATGTCAGCTCCCAAGGGCAGGGGCCCAACCACTTGCCTACTGCCAAGGCTCATGGACAGTGCTGGCACGTAGGAAGTATGGATTTATTGCATGAGTTACACTTTTCTGTATGACTAAATTATATATTTGAAATAGAGAAAAATATTTGGTTGAGGAGCCCTCGGGAGATTGGTACCAGTGATGTCCATGGCCCCCAGCTGACTTGTCCATTTCACTGGGTGTGCCAGTTGGCTTGTGACCATCCAAGAAACTGTCCACACCTTTTTTTTAAATTATTATTATTGATTTTAGAGGAGGGGGATAGAGACATGGGCTTGTTGCTCCACTTACTTATGCATTCATTGGTTGATCCTGACCAAAAATGGAACGTGTAACCTTGGTGGGTTCGGCAGACACTAACCAACGGAATTACCTGGCTAGGGCTTGTCCACGTTTTCAAAAGTGCACAAAATGGGGTGAGCAACCCGGCAGCTGAAATTTGCTTTTAAATTTTTCTATAGAAACATACAGATGAAGCTGAAGTGTAAGATCTCAAGCACTCACTCATCATTGGAAGCAATGGGCTCACAAAGCTGTATCCTATTCATCTATTTTAGGCTCATTTGACATGCTTATGAGAATTTAAAAGAAGCAGGGTGTGTTTTGTTTTTTCTTTGTGGGGGAGGGCAGTGCTGGAGGGATGGACAGGTGGGGAGCAGACAACTTTCAGGATAGTGAAAATACCATTAGGATAGATACATGTCATCATCCATTTGTCCAAACCCACACAATGTACAACACAGAATGCACCGTTGTCCATTCATTCACATGATTTGTCAAGGTAGGTTCATCAGTTGTAACAAAAGCACTCTAATGGGGGTGTTGATAGTGAGGGAGGCTGTGTAGGTTGTGGGGGCGGGAGGTACATAGGAAATCTCTGTACCTTCCACTCAATTTTGCTATGAACCTAAAATCGGTCCAAAAAGTCTTCAAGCCCTGACCAATGTGGCTCAGTTGGTTGGACATTGGCCCATGCCCCAGGAAGTTGCCAGGTTAATTCCTGGTCAATGGCATATGCCCAGGCTTCATGCTCAATCCCCAGTAGGGGTATATATGCTGATGGATGTTACATTCTTTTTTAAAATATATTTTTTATTGACTTTTTTACAGAGAGGAAGAGAGAGGGATAGAGAGTTAGAAACATCGACGAGAGAGACTCATCGATCAGCTGCCTCTTGCACCACCCCTACTGGGGATGTGCCTGCAATCAAGGTACATGCCCTTTGACTGGAATCGAACCTGGGACCTTTCAGACCGCAGGCCGACGCTCTATCCACTGAGCCAAACCAATCTCGGCAGATGTTGCATTCTTGCATCGATGTTTCTCTTTCTGAAAGGTCAATAAACTATTCTTAAAAAAAAAAAAAAAAAGTATTTAAAAAGGGGGAATGGAGCACTCCTTCTCTGAAGTACGTGGGGAGCACGTGTTGAGAGGTGAGACCGTGGACCGCAGGTGAGAGGTGAGAGGTGAGAGGTGGACCGCAGCTGACAGGCCAATTAAATCCCAAGGCCTAACCTCTCGCAGAGGCCCACCTCACCAAAACACTATTGGACCTCATCCAGCAGTCATGTGACTACAAGGAGCTTCACAAAGGAGCCAATGAGGCCACCAAAACCCTTAACAGAGGCATCTGAGTCCATTGTCATGGCTGCAGAGCAGAGCCCCTGGAGATCTTGCACCTCCTGCTGCTGTGTGAAGACAAGAATGTGCCCTATGTGATTGTGTG